TCAACTGGAGATAAAAGCCTTCTCCCTCTGTCATTCTCCATACCTGTGCGTTTGTGTGTGTGTGTGTGTGTGTGTGTGTGTGTGTATGTGTGTGTGTGTGTGTATCTCACATTTCAGCCCTTCCAGTGATTTGTGGGCGTGGTGATGAAATCTTACAGATCAGTGGTAGATATCAAAGCTGCTGCCTCATCTTAGGAAGAGAGACTCTAATGCAATCAGTGAGGGGCATGTCTGACCACTGATGGATTTAGGAGTGATGGCTGAGTGGGTGGAACATGGCAACGTGCCGCTATGACCAGAAAAACAACCCGGGGAATTTGCATGATTGATGAGATTTGGTCCGGTTAGAGAAACGGGACGATCTTATTTTTTTGTGCTTATGTTTTCCAGTGTGGCTTGAAATGGTGTGAAATGCCTCATTCACACTTTCACAAACAGGGACACCAATTTGGATTTGGGGATGATTAGTGGTCAAGGGAAAAAGAGGAAGCAGAGTTTTCCTTTCAAAGCCTAAAAAAAGGCCAAATGATAGTCAGACACAGAGACTGTGACCCCTGATCGCTGCCTTTCGTGAGTCACTGGGAAGTCCAGATTTTCACATGATGGAAGCTGGTGTGCAGTTCTGGAGGGTTAAATGAAAGAAATGACAAATATCTGGGTGAAAATACAGATTTACAACCCCCTCCTACCACGACTACAGTTTTGGCCAGCACTAAGCAAGAAGAAACTCAGGCTTGCTTTATGGTTTGTCACCAGTCAGAGTTAAGAAAAAGTCAAACTCCTGAAACCTGCCGGAGACCCATCAATGTAGCGTTTGGCAAAATGATTGCACCCTGAATGTTTTTATCAATCTGATCCGTCAGGATTTGATGTTTCATGTGAAATTAAATGCTGCGGTGCATGTTTTCTGACTGGTTAAAGGCTAAAAACTCAAACTTCAGGTTTGCTTCCTCTGAACATATGATTTGAGATTTACTTAAAAGCAACTTTCCAAAACCTTCAGTCTATTCTGTCTATCTGGGTTAAAAAATCAGAACCTCTGTTGGATAATCAGGCAAAGGGCATGGTTTGGGGGGGGGGGGTTGTAGGCAACGGGTTCAGGCGGGGGGTAAGGTCCAGATCAGTCTGTGGAACGGAACACGACTCCTTTTTTCCCGAAGCTCACGCACGCATCATGTAGCCTCTTGCCCTTTTTATTGAAGCCGCTGTCCAAAATGTTCCAGTCCAAAGAACGCGGGGTCCTGTGAGGTCAGCGAAGACACCAGAGGCAGCCAAGCACACCTTCAGCCAACCGAAGGACTCTCAGAGGGCCCAAAACCCTCCAAAGTGGGATTTTTACAGTGAATGGTCCCCAATTGAAATAAATAGATGTATTTGATCCATTTGACACAATACTGAGCATTACGCTTTTCTGACCTGCAGTGTTTATCAATGCATTGAAATTCAAATGCTGATCCTGGCCAATAAAGCAAATGTCAGTTGTGTTTCTGTGTTTTGTGTTATCTCTGTAACAGTTTGATGCATTCTCTGGTCCGGCCCTTAATTTAAACCGGCAACCCTGAAAGGATGCCTGTCCCACAAAACTGGATCAGAGAGATTTACATATACAGAGATTTTTTATGGGAGAATAATCAAAACTTAACATCTTTATTATTCCAAAGGGGGGTCCAATAGGTTTAGAGCCATATGAACCGTGGTCGTTTTGTGTAATATGACGCCTGCAGAGGGGGAATAACTGGCTGTGTATGACATTTTCAACTGTTTTTTTGCACAAACTGTGCAAATCTTTAATCTATGAATCACATAAATCTTTTTAAAATGTATTTTATTTTCAGAAATAATGGCGATGTTCGAGAGTATTTTCTCTTTCTCAACATTTTGCATGTGAAGATAACAAAGCCATCCACCATTTACTTCCGTATCCAGTTTTTTCACATTCAGACACTAGTTTTTACGGGCTCATGTCAAATGGATCAATAAAATAAACGAGTTTATTCTAGAAAATCTAGATCATCCACCCCCCGGGGTGCCTGTCTTTGCCCTGTGCAGCAACTGATGGGAGACCAGTGTGGGGGGACCCGGGGTGGGGGGGGGTGCTCGGGCCCGGGTCGGCTCCTGGTTGCTCAACCTGTGTGGCAGAAAAGGCAGCTGGTGTTCCTCGCCACGCTCCGGCGCCCCGGCTGCTTTCACAACCATCCTGCCGGCCCGTGTACTGGATAAACTGTTTTCTCCGCTTGTTATTATTTGTTGTTAATGGCTGACGGATTATAAATGGAGATGGGAGAGAGCCAGAAAGATGTGCACTCTCCCAGAGTGGGTTTGTGCATCATCTGGGCTACGTTCAGACCGGCAGATACACCTGGAACCAGGAACTTCACCACAGTTTCCCTTCCTTTAAATAAAACATCTACGCATAACTACATTAAGGGAAAGTGTCAGGCGACAAATACCCAACTAATATCACTTTTAGCTGTATGACACTTTCTTCAGGCATGATCACCTGAGTCACTGGAAACGACTGAACTTCCAGCCATGATTTATCGGTTTCAACTTGGCTGTTCACTTCACCCACATTGCACAGCAGCTGGCACTTTCCGCGGGGGGGGCAAAGGTCAGCTGGGGTGTGCATCTCTTTCGACTCCGGTAGCTGGAGATAAGCGAGCGGCGGAATCGGAGTGATGACACATCGGCATCAGGTGAGAGAAAACAACCGTGAGGTCTCACCAGAACAAAAAGTTCCGTTAATAAAACATCACCGTAATAAAGTCATCGACATTCCTCCAGAGGCCTTCGCCGCGTCCGTGGCTCACAGTGGTGAGTTCTTTATGGCCCGACTGCACTCTTCCTGCCCCTCTAACTGTCGTGCTCAGCCCTACTAGGATCATCAGACTGGTTTTCTGCACAGCTAAACACACCAGAAGCTCTCCCCGCTTCAGAACGTCTAATAAGTTCAGCACAATCCAGCATATTACTAATGATCAACCCCATTGATACTACACTAAAAGATGATGTCCGACCAACAACTGGCCCAGTTTCCGTCATATTGACTGAGCGGGTCGGACACGTCTGTTTATTTTGGGTTTGTGTAGCAGACGTTATTCACGCCGCTGCTCTGGAAAAGGCCGTCTGAGGTTGGGCCTTTCTCCTTACCCAAACCTGTAGATTTTTACACTTGTTTGTACCAAAAACAAAAGTGACAAAAGTTTATTTACTGTACCCTAAAGGGTCCGTTTTGAGGCTCTGACCTCACTGGACCTGCTACAAAAAAATCTACTATCTGTTTATATCTGACTCTGGCAACATGGATTCCTTTTATTGTACAAACATGAGTTACAAAAAGTACATTGACTAAACATACACGTTCCACTGAATATTATGAATGACCTTCAACAATCATAAAACTATGAGGAGAAAACTGATGAAGTCATGAAATCTGCAGTGAAACAAACCAAAGTGACCCTCATGTGAATAAAAACAACACAAACATGTAAACTGAATAATTTAAAATTGAGGGCTTGGAGGAATAAAAAAAAAGTAACTCATTCGAGCTTCTCCAAACCTAATTGTATCTGCATTTAAATATATCTTGATTTGAATTTTGTTTTTGGGCAAACATTTCAATATCTCCAAACTTAGAGCTGTAAGAACTCTACAGACAACACCGCTCATCAATCTGATGTGTGAATGATTAATTGATTAATTAAGATGCTCACTGGTTATGGAAGTACCCATAAGCTGCAGCCATGTTGTCCTCACTGGTGTCTCTGACCCTGCACGTGCCTGTGGGCTCCTTTGGCTCATGAAATGCAAAATGCAAAATCCTGCAAATTTAAACTTCACAAAAAGCTGTTGACAAAAGCTAAAAAAAACATGATTTTATATGGGATTAAACTAGGAATATAGACTTTTCCTCAAGTTTAAGCAGAAAAGAGATGCAAGCAAACTTTATTTCTACATGAAAGGTGGTCAGTCTCAGAATGGAGCTGAAGAATAACACACCGAATTAAGGTGGTGTCAATCAGATTTTTGGTTCAGAGGATTTTGCTCTACAGATAAATATTAAGCCAATTTTTAGAGGAAAAAAAACGAAAGCAGCCTCTGCTTCCGTTTTTTTCGATACAAACTCATTTATTTTTCGTCTAACTGTTACATTGTTACATTATATATTTTAAGAGCAACGTTTCTGTGAGGAAGATTGATATTATGATAGCATACCAGCCTTTTGAATACAGGGCAACCCAAAAGATACGTTTTTATTTTTTATTTTCACGATGATATTATTTGGAGGAAAAAGCCTAAAATGGCTCTTTTTTATCATGAGTAATTTTATTTATTTTAGAGGGGAAATTTCCCCACAGATTATTCTATTTTCCTAAAAGACTTCAGTTGTTTTCTGGTTTCAGTATGAACTGGAGACATCGTGTTTACATTGCTGTCAGTAGGCCAACTGGCAAAACAGATCTGAAAAAGTGGCTGAAAAAAAAATAGGAAAACTGTCGATGTTAGAGAACGAACAGGCCACGTGCCACAATGTTAAAAATACTTATAACAGAAACTTTACCGGTCAGATTTCTCCACCCATTTATGGAGTCATGTAACCTGTTAATGAGAGAAATGAATCATGATTGTGGAACTTATTTGGATGACTTGCAACGAACTGCATCCGTAGGTAAGTTTGAAAACTTTTTCTTCTTTTTCTTTTAATTGAAAGAAGAATCTGTTTTAAACGTGGCCTGAAAACTGGGTAAACATTGGCCTGAAACTAATTAGGTTAATGACATCAGTGTCTATTAATAGGCTATCATTCCCCACTTAACGCCTTTAAAAGAACACATAATTATGTAGATAAAGCTTCAGACTTCCTTTTCCCCCTGGTCATGGCCCAGGTTCTGGTCCGGGTCCTGGTCCCGGTCCTGGGCCCTGGTCCCGCGGAAAACCTGCATATATATGGCCTAAAAAGAAAAAAAACCCATGAAGGGAATATGTGAAGCTCTCCTTTCTTAAAAGACTTTATGGCATATACGACAGGGTCCAAAGTCCGACGAAGTTTTAGCCGATAAGGGGAGCCAATAAAAGCAGCAGGGTAAACACGTCGAGCTGCGCCCGGAGCGGCCCTCGTCCTGCGGATTTACATAAGGCCCCGTCAGCCGGCCCACTCATTACCATGTTTTATATGCCCCCGCTCCCTGGAAGCATCATGGCAAAGTAGCTCCATCCTCCCCTCCGACAGGGAAGCCAAGCCCTCCTTTTTTTCCTCGGAGCAGGTGTCACCGAGCGGAAACTTCCCACAGGACCGGCCCGGAGAGCACCGGAGAGCACCGGAGAGGACCGGAGAGGACCGGAGGCCCACCTTTCAGTGTTCAGGCTCTCCCCCCCCCCCACCCCAACACACACTTCTCCATCCTCCCTGTCCCCGTGCAGCCGGCGCGCGCGCGGCAGGGCCCGTGCTTGTTTTTTTGATGTTCTCGAAGATGGTCTCCAAGCTGACGTCCCTGCAGCAGGAGCTGCTCAGCGCCCTGCTGGACTCCGGGCTGACCAGAGACGTCCTCATCCAGGCCCTGGACGACATGGACCCCAGCCCGTCGGGCTACGGAGTTAAAATGGAGAGCCTGCCCCTGTCCCCCGCGGCCCCCCAGAACGGCAAGTCCGCGGCCGCCGGCCCGGACCCGGACTCCAAGCCCGTCTTCCACACGCTCACCAACGGCCACGGCAAGGCCAAGCTGTCCGGGGACGAGGGCTCCGAGGACGGGGACGACTACGACACCCCGCCGATCCTCAAGGAGCTCCAGTCGCTCAACACGGAGGAGGCCGCGGAGCAGCGGGCGGAGGTGGAGCGCATGCTGGCGTGAGTCCCCCTTATTTGCCTTATTTGATGATTTATCCCCCCGAATCCCCCTTCAGAAAGCCCCGCAAACCGACGCCTTTTTAGGGGCGAAAAACGAACTCCGCGCTGGGTCATTTTCTCCAAAGTTAATTTGATTTTTTCATGGCTGTAAAAGCTGTGAAAATCAATATCGGAGCAAAAAAAAACTAAAAGAAAAAAGTTTTGTGTGTGTGTGTGTGTGTGTGTGTGTGTGTGTGTGTGGCTGAAACGCTCCTCTCTGTTTACAATTTTAAAACGACGCGCCACGCTTCGGTTTTAACATTCTAGTTACTAATTATCCACATGGATTAAATTTTTCTTTACCTTCGGAAAATATCAGCTGAACTCAGATCTATTTATTATTAACTCTGCTTCCTGTCAGAGCGATAAAAGCTGCGAGCAGAAGGCCACAGCAAGGAAACAACCGGCCCAGGAAATACTGTTATAATATAATAATAATAATAATAATAATAATAATAATAATAATAATAATAATAATAATAATAA